CTGTAAAGCGGTATATTAGTCTAAGTCAGGAGTCATCAAACTTGACAGCTTTGAGACTGTGGACTTCAGCTCCCAGAATTCCTAAAGTCCTAAAGTTGCCAAGTTTGGAGACCCCTGCAGTAGACGATAACAACATTGCAACTACAACTTTTGATCGTTTGAGAGCTGTGTGCAACGAAATTTCATTTTAATGTACGTTCACTAATGTGCATTCAACGTGACAGAGTTATTCTGTTCTATTCTATTCTATATTCTGTTCTATCCATTGTATTCCATTCCATTCTTTATTTTCTATTCTATTTTCTATTCCATTCCTTTCACACAACAGTATTTTGTGATTTTGTGCTTCAAATGAAAAAAACATACTTTGATTTTGGGAGGGGGGGTTAACTAGAGAGGCTTATTGTTATAGAAATGGCTTGTTCATCTGGATTTGGGTCACATGACCATGGGGAACGCTACAAAGGTCATAACTCTGAAAAGTGGACGCAAGTCACTTTTTTCAATGCCGTTCTAACTTGGAACGGTCACTAAACAGACTGTTTACTGACCGTTTAACAGACTGTTTAGTCCCGTGATGGTGACACACAGAGGTGGCACACAGAGCCATTTGTGGGGCATGTGAGCTCCAGGCAAATTTACTTCACTGCACATGCACACAGCCTCCCAGCTGATTTTCGGGCCTTTTCCGGCCTGCCAGAGGCTTAAGGGAAGCCTCTGCAGGTTTTGCAGGCCGAAAAATAGGCCCATTTCACCACTTCCTGTGTTTTCGGTAATATCCGAAGTGACCAAACAGGCCCATTTTTCAGCCTGCAAAGGCTTCCCTCAAACCTCTGGCAGGCTGAAAAAGGCCTCAAACAGGTGGAAAAACAGCTGGGAGGCGCAGCGCAGGTAAGGGGGCGGAGGGGGGGAATTGCACACGCATGCACAGGAGGCAGTGTGCGCATTGCTTTCTGGGTGCTGGCATGCGAGCGCAAGCACATACGCAATTTTTGGCACAGGAGCCCCCAAAAGGTTAGCCGCTACTGGTTTAGTCGAGGACTATCTGTATAGGTTGGAAACAGGCGGAAGCGGCCTTCATCCTGGTTGGATAGACAATGGCTTAAAACAGGGGTGTCCAACCTTGGCAACTTTAAGACTTGTGGACTTCAACTCCCAGAATTCCTCAGCCAGCAAAGCTGGCTTAAAAGGATGAAATTCAGAATAGGCCATGTGAGGACACCATGTCAGACGGCTGCGTTTGCAAAGCGAGGGCCTGATCTGTAACTCAGTGACAGAGGATGTGTGTTTCTGTGCAAACAACTCCCCAGTGGGGGTTTCCACCTAACTTAACAGTTGTGTCATTACTGGGGGAGCCTCAATTTTTCCAGCGGGAGAGCTGAAGGCCGTCCCAGCAGCTTTCCCAGGGATGTTTACTTTGCATCAATGAGTAACTGGGACGTAAGGTGATAGTACATAACAGCCACATGACGTCTCATGGCCCCCGGGGTGTTTTGATCCCTTACTTCAAAGTTACCATATTTTCCAGTGTGTAAGATACACTTTTTCCACCCCACCCACCAAAAAGTGAGTTTTATACAGGGAATTTTGCCAAAGCCCTGCCCACCCGCCGGTCCCCACCCTTCAGCCTCTGCCTCCTTGCAGCAAACAGCCTGTTCCGCCTGGTCTTACAAGTTTGCACCAACAAATCATCGGAAACCCCGAATGGTCCTTTACTGTAAATGTGCAGCTCTATAGATGAACTAGACTGAGTCTTCTCCCATAGAAAACCTTGGATTCGAAGCCAAATAGATGCTTCCAAATATTTGCGTGTGGGTTGTTGCGTAGCACCCGCCCACAACTTCTTAAGGCAGCTGTGTCTTTTCCCGGAATTGCGTAAATGTCCACTACAGTTAGGACTGCAGAAAAAAACAACGGCTGCTAACCTGCCTTCCATGGAGGACCTGAATCCTGCATGAGTCAAAAAGAGGACTGTGGAAATATCTACACACCGCTCACATTCTGGACATAAACTGTTTCAACTCCTACCCTCAAAACGACGCTATAGAGCACTGCACACCAGAACAACTAGACACAAGGACAGTTTTTCCCCCAGTGCCATCATTCTGCTAAACAACTAATTCCCTCAATACTGTCCAACTATTTACAAAGTCTGCACTACTATCACTATTAATCTTCTCATCACTCCTTATCGCCCATCCCCTCCCACTTGTGACTGTATGACTAACTTTGTGGCTTGTCTCCTTACGATTTATATTGACTGTTTCCTAGTATGATTTGATTGCTAATTGTACCCTATGACTGTCATTAAGTGTTGTACCTGATGATTCTTGACTCCTGACAAATGTATCTTTTCTTTTACGTACACTGAGAGCATTTGCACCAAGACAAATTCCTTGTGTGTCAATCACACTTGGCCAATAAAGAATTCTACAATTGTAGCACAGTCCCAGGAAGAAAAATTGCATTTGGGTTACGGACTTGCCAAAAATTGATATGAAATCGCCCTCACTTACTCTTACTCCAAAGCACCATAAATCCAAAGGCCTGCACAATCCTGCCAGATGTAAAATTATACAGCAATAGCACCTAGATTTATATACCGCTTCACAGTGCTTTTACAAAGCCTCTCTAAGCAGTTTACAGAGTCAGCCTCTTGCCCCCAACAATCTGGGTCCTCATTTTACTGACTTGGGAAGGATGGAAAGCTGAGTCCACCTTGAACAGGTCAGAATCAAACCCCAGACTCTGGGCAGAGTCAGCCTGCAATATTGCATTCTAACCACTGCATCACCACTGCTCTGTATCAAATTATAATTGTTTATTTTGGTGGTTTTTAATGCAAAATCCGCATCCATGTCTGTCCACGCTTGTCTTTTTTTAAAGCTTTATTTTATTTGAAAGCTGAGCATCGTGCCAATTCCAGAAAAAAATCTTGTCTTTTTGTGGTCAATGCCATAAATATCTCCCAATATAAATCAATGGCAGGTGGGTGAAAAGGATATATTTATTGTAAGAAAGCTTTCGTTATTCTTGTTTAATGAGATGTTTCTTTCTTTCTTTTTTTCCTTTCAGGAAATGCCCAACTCTGTCTTTCTTGTAATGGAGGTATGTATATTAATGATTTGAATTTCTTTGTGACTGAATTTGAGTTATTTTTCCTTTTGTCTTACTCAAGTCTCCCCAGCCTCCCTCAAACCATATAGGGATCCCCTGAATTGTCCAAAAATTAGTAGATATGTACACTACCAAAGAAAATCCACCCCGAAATATTTTTGATCCACCAGTTTTGGGTTCTAATGGAGTGTTATGTGATTTATGCTATAATATACGTGGGTCAATATTTGATGTTCTGTACTTACAGAAGCAATTACTAAAAATCCCTTTTTTTTTCCATTCACCCATACATTGCCTCGCAAAACATAGTACAGCCAGGGTAATGCATTACCAATTAAAGAGAATTTTCAGGGTTGGACTGTGGGGTCCTTGGTGCTCTCTAAACTTGGTTGTTTTCTTGCTGACGTTTCATTACCCAACTAGGTAGCTTCATCAGTGCTAGAAGGGAAGGGGTTTCACCTCTGCTTATATACAAATGACTTGCCCTGTAAGTGTTAGTGGGACTGTTCTTGACGGGTTTCTTGATCAGACTTTTGTTTATTGTTTGTCTGAGTTGGTGATACCTTGATTGGAGTATTGTTTACAAT